CTGATATTCACCAATGTCTGTTTCCACATTATGTGTTAGTTTGTTATTTGGAATACAGAGAAGTAAATACGTTCAAGTAGCTTTAGACCAAAGCAGAGCACAATATTTTGTTGTGAAATTGATCGTAAGATTTCGTGAAATATTGTTTCAAAATGAATGAATTATTTTGCATGAGCGTTAATAGGGGATATCTGGTGATGAAGAGAGTACGAAGCACCAACCATAAAAAGGATGTCACACGAAAGGTGAAGCTTTTGGCATAATCTACTCCTCATATTCATGAGTTCCAGTGAGTGGGTCGATCACATGCAAGATGTTCAAGTGATGATTAATTTTAAGTGATACAAGCATCCAAGGTACTTACTAAATGATATCGTTGTTTAAAATCATAATACTCGACACTACATTTGAGTAACAAGAGAACGAATACAAACTTTCCCCTCCATGATGTCTAATGGCACTACAAGATTTGAAACAATAACCAGTCGCAGCACTGTGAAAGTTTATCACATCCGAATGTAGAAACAGTAAGCACAAAGACGTGCGGAATCAGAGATTTATGAGTGCTAAAATATGTTGGAGCTAATAGTTAATTCATTCCCTAGTTCCACCACAGTTTGTGTAAGTGTTTCTTACTATCATTCTGAAATACGCTTTCGAACATCTTTTCACCTAGTGATAAGGATTGCACTTGATAAATGTATACTCGACGACTATTCAGTATGAGCGCCATCTCCCAGCCCCAAGAATGTATGAAAGAAAATGTGGCATGATATTTCGAAACTGCTGCTAGATTACCTTATGAGTAATATTACTATGCATTGGAATTTTACGTAAATTTCTACGACACGTTTACTATGATTACCATTCACTTTCCCATTGATGAAATACAAATTTGAACTCACCTCTAGCTTTGTAATCAACACACAATTATTATTTCTTGTATTTTGTAGGAAGAATGGTCTTGCTGGTGGAGAGATGGTGCTGGGTGGTGTTGATCCTGAATATTTTACTGGAGATTTCGAAAACTTGCCTGTCCTCTCTGCGAATCGTTGGATTGTTAGTATCAAAAGGTAATTAGTGCATACTTGAATGAAGTTATTTACAAAGAATTCATCATCTTTCATATGCATATGAAGATCGCAGGAAACAATTGTATGCTTATCACATTCGTATCATCTTAGCGAAGTACTTTATCATAATGGCGATTCTTGTGTGTCATAGTAATAAAAGTCATACATTCTCGCATTCATTCACTGAACGAGATGAGATTTGAAAATTCCAAATAATTGAAAATTAATCGTTTACATTGATATCGCCATAGTATATCCGGAACAAGATTAACTTGGGCAAGCATTTCTTTGCAGTCAGTTCTCATCTAAACTTTGTGGCTACAAATACAAAAATTGTAGAATTTATCAGCCAGTAAATGAAAATCAGAACTGTGAGAAAATGTTTCAGAGTATAAGTACATAAAGGTGCAATTCGTGGGCGCCATATCTACTGATAAATTAAGTCGCAGGTTGATTAGGACTATTGAAAGAAATTTCATTGCCTCGAAATTACACACTAATTTCTGAACCGGACCTATACTGAAAAATTGCATTAAAGGTAAGTTACCATTGATGGTCACATCAGCACGTGTATACATATTTAGCGGGTTCTGTGGAGTTAGTTGTTTAGGCCGTATTCATGTGCGAGTTTGGCTTGGAAAAGCAGCAATCAGGTGAATAACTAGTGTGAACTAACCGCATTTAGTGGATAGTGAACATCGCATAAAACAGATGAGGAATTTGCAGTTGTATACTGAGCACCAAACAATCTGTGGTTACATCTCCTGAAGATACAGAGATGAATGAGAACACAATTGACATGTGTGCGCAAAACTGTACATTTGTAAAGACAGAAGACAAGGGCCAGGCGACAAATAGTTTATTGAGAAAATCAAGAGATATTTATAGATTTTTTTGTACATTATAATTCGTTATTTTAGCAGAGAAGCAAAGTCTTCTAGTTGGATTTTCTTGCTGAAGGCTATTGTGTACTGCTTGTGACCGTTGCTTACAAGGTTATCCATATATCTGCGAATGGTATTTGCACACGCTAAGTCTGCTTTGATTGGTTGTTGAGTTCCCCAAGGTTAGTCTTTCTTCTTGTTATTGTCTTTTCTCATGACCGTGATTCGGGACGTAAACATTGACGTCAGTTATTGTCTACAATTTTGTCTTGCTGACAGCCGTCACCACACATTCACCTCATAATTTCATTTTGGATTACTCTCTTCTTACTCCTCTTCGCCTAGTTTACTTCACGCCATTATTGTCGTTATTGTCTTTTATCCTGCGGATTTTCAATAGACTTTTGTTGTCTCCATTAGGTGGGTTCAGTTCACCATATGTTCACTAAATTTTATCATCATATGCTTCTGTTGTCAACCCTGGAGCTCACATTCAGCAAACCCAATTTACTCATAGTTCTGTAGTATTGATATGTTTTCAGAGCAAAACAATTAGAGGGGATAGTTGCTTTTGATAGATTCTCCTTCAGACTCCACAACTATTTATACATTAATCTTTGGCTCAGAAAAGTCACTAAAGCCAAGCTAGATTCATATCAGAAATTATATTGTGGTAATGGTACCCGATTGAATAATAGTCAGTTGATTTTGACTGTTGCTAAAATCAATATGAAATGTGTAGTCAATAAGCACGTGGGACCAAATCAGATTAAATAATTCAGTGGTGTGTGTTTGTGCATGTAAACTCGACAAAAAGTACAGATTTATTGGGCGAGTGTAGTTAGTGACGTTAGAGACAACATAATTACTGCTTATTAGGAAGAGTAGTTTTGTGATCAATACACCATTTGTTGTAGAGACTAGTTAATGTTCCAACTACGTTTTACCCTGTTTAGCTTGAAGGTGAATGGAGTGGAGTATTGCGATGCAGCATGCTCTGGTATTATAGATACTGGGACATCCTTGATAGTCGGATCTAATGCAGTGGTGGGTAAAATTAATTCCCAACTCGGTGCCGTATCTGCAACGGATGGGGAGTATAAAGTCGACTGCAGTAATCTCAATAACCTTCCTCCCATTGAGTTTATCTTCAAGGAGAGAAGATATGTATATCAAGCAAAAGATTACGTGGTTAAAGTAAGTATAGATTTTCAGTTGAATTTTCTGATATTCTGTGATGAGCAAACGTTTATTCATTCTTCGTTGTGAATATTTCAACCATCATTTTATTTCAAATCGTCAGTGAATAAAGTATGCCCGAAATGATTGCCAGGTATCGCTGAGTCAGTCAAAGTAAGTCATCCATCTTACAAAAACGCCTAAATCATACTTGTTGTTATGAAATAAATTTCAACACATTTTGAACTCCATGTGAACAGATAGACAGTGTCACTGTTATTCATTTATCGGAGTAAGTTTTTCTTTGTGAGGGATATGTTCTCCTAATAAGCATTTTCATGGAACTATTTCAATGCAGTCGTGTCACAAAGTCGGCATTAGGTTGACTAAGTCCTTCGTCCCCGATTCCGAGCACCTATCACAAATATATGCCTAATAATACACTGTTCTACCTATAACAAAAACAGGGAATATCTTTGTTGCTCACTAGATTCAGCAACTTCGAGATCTTCTGTTGCATTCGGATTCTCGAAGAGGAACGTACAGCTGATCAGCTAAATGACTCACAGTGACTCAAATATCAATAGGACAAATTTCAAGAATCCAAGCAGATTGATCAGGTACGATGAAATTAAAATTGCGATAGTGGGTGAGATAAAATGACGAAGTAGTTGAATTAGAATTCTGATGCAATTATTATCTGCAGTCATTGCTAGACACTGAATTAAAGAAATCTGAAGAAGGTCTTTCCATTTTCACATTTCAGGATTCCAACTGGCTATCAACAGACTGTCTATCACCTTTTAGAGGCAGTGGTAAAGTGTCCAAGGGATTCTGGATTCTTGGCGATGTATTCATGAGAAAATTCTACACTGTATTCGATTTCGGTGAGAGGGAGATAAGATTGGCTGATGTTGACGATGGATAAAGCTTTTGGTACCGAAACCAGTAAATCACTGAACATAAACATGTTTTACGAAATAAACTAAGAAGTTCTTCTTAGCACATATCATTTATTTCTTGAAGATCTTTCGAAAAATGGATAATTGATGAGGGTGTATACGTCCGTTTAGAATAGTATCACCTGTGGCATTTAAATAACTACGAATTTTTCGATTTTCGAGGTGAACAATAGCATACGAAGGACATAACTGTTCGTTATTTGGATCTCAAGTTGAAGTTTTCCATCTCAGAAAGTTGACATTTCTGTCTTGCTGATGAATATCTCATTAACTGTACTTGTCTACCGGTTAGTTATTGCTTCTGCATATTTCATCTGTTTCGTAATTCATCCATTCACATTGATCCACAATGGGAATCACAAACTGTCCTGAGAATTTATATTTTCACAAGATTTCTACAGCATAATTGTCTTGACAGTGTAGCTGGCGTTCTCCAGCGAACGTATTCGCACATAACTTTGCCTGAAGAAATCAGACAAACTGTGCAAAGACCTCAGACAATAATCATTCAATATTTTAGTTTGCCTGATACCACCTTGCTTTGATAGTTAATGATTGCATTATATCCACCGCCTATGGTGTATATATGAACTTTAGAATTCGATGTCCCATCAAGAGTAAAACTCGTCACCTTGACATTCTATTTGAGCATATGTATCAGAATGACCCAATAAGCTATATTAGTCAAGACGAGCTCTCTCGAAGACGTTCATGTATCAGAAAGATAATCTGGGTAGTGAATTGACTAAAATCACTTACCATCATAGTGTGCGTTACTTTAATTATGATCGTCATTTGGCATTTAAGAGATTGAGGCATTCCTTATACAACGAAAGTGTTGAAATTCAAAAATACACCCAACCAAAATGGTTGATCTACAAAATTTATCATATTGGTATCAGGAGGTTGTTTCAGTAAGGGCAGCATCAGCCTCTGGATCAATGTCTACGACAATGATGGAGTATCTTTAAACTCATCTCTGCTTACTCAAATAACTAGATGTTGTTTGGACAGAGTAAAGGATAAGGTTTTTCGGGATACGTCATGTTTGATGCTAGGATCATGTAGGATCAAAATCGAAGTTAGCTCAGATTTGCTGATTTAAGTATCCTGACACTGTGTAACTATTACTAACTATTTATGATTAAATGATAATTGAGAAACAAGCCTTTAACTACATTTCATGAAGTGATATGTGATCTCCTGTGAGATTCCATCCCTAAATGTAAATTAGCATAGGATGTAACCTAGAAAGTACTATAAAATTATAAACTACAACAGTTTTCACCTAAATAGACTGCCACATAAAATGACACCAAAGTTGTAAATAATAAATTCAACAGAATCTTTGAAGATTCTAAATATGATTATATTCGTGGGATAATATGTTCAGCTGGTGATAGAATGTTCATCGAACAACCTCCTTGAGAAGCCAAGGTGGGAACAATGAGTATGCTGAACCTACTGTTTGATCACCTGGAAGCTTAATAGAACATGAAAAATTTGAAAAATCTTCAAATGCGACCTGGCGTACTCATACGTGGGACCATAACACTGTCTTTCTTAATGATAGAATCATTCAGTATAGTCAGTACGTAATAAGGGGTCTTATAGCAGAAGCATCACACATGAGACAAAATCCAATTTATATGAATAGGAACGGGTGAACAGGACAACATTTGATCTGGTTTTAGGGGTTTATCAGCCGCTAAATTTGTCACTGTTTACAAATAAATTTGTTTACCTAAGCAATATAGAGCTGACAAATCTTCACTCCGTGTTTCTTTCAAATGCCTCCATCAGTTTGTTTGTGTTTGTCAAAACAGATGATGACAAAGAAATATCTGAGCTTATTCCAAGAAAATTGCTGATGAAAGCCACTTAAATATTCAGCACTGCAACTGCTTCTCACTTTAGGAATGTTAGTCCTGAAATATAAACTCATGCTTTTTAGCATACTGAAAAATATGCACATACGCAGGTGCGTTATTATCACTTCAATTCGTTCAGTTGCTGTACTTAGCCTCACGTCGTAAGCGAGTGTAATTTGTGCTTAAATGGTTGAGAAGTTTCTATTCACTGAGTGAATTTGGAATGGCATCTAAAGAAAAGTTTTTGATTAAATTTCATAAGTTCCTAATTTGAAATGCATGAATTTCTAAAGAAGAATTTAATACGGTGCTTTTATGGTGCTTCACCAATGGTATGAAGAGCTTGTCATAAAAAGAATGACCTTGTCACAAAAAGGATTAAGATAGAGTGATCTGTGAGACGAAAAATAATGGAGACACATAATAACACAGAGAAATGTTTGGATCGACGCAGTAGATAAATGCTAAGTAAGAGGAATATTCAGGTTCCGTAATGGTGGATTGAAAGAGAGGGAATAAAACAGTCTTTAACTATTATGCCACAAGAGTATGGAAATAATTTGGGTAAAACATAGTACTGTATTGAGTAGGTTTATTTTATATAGCACACAGTTATATAGTGTTTGTCAGTTGTCCGAGAAATGGAATCTTGAAGAGAATATAGAGGAAATGGGAGGGGAACTGTAAGTGGTCTGATAATGGTTGAGGTGCAGTGTTATTAGATGAGGACGATTGCGTGAAAGAAATGTTATCGATTTTGAAAAGTCAAACTAAGTATCAGTTTAAATGTCAAAGCTGAGCAACGAATGAGTGATTGTCTTAGGAAGTTGCGTTGGAGAGTAATGATGTCGACAACGATGTATGAATTGATGAATCCAACAGACATCAACGCTTCACAACTTTAAGATCTACCCAAATTGTGCACATCGCAAGATCCTACTCGTTTAGTTTTAGATATGTTTGAGTCAGCATATCACTGAAACTAAAACTGATTGTTCGAAATTCGTGGAGTTTTGCACGAAGAAAAGTATGAGATACAGATTTAATGCACTTTGTCTTCTCCTGCAGAATATCTGAGAATGAATGTAACTAACAATACTTTAATATCCACTGATTCATCCTCCTTGCTCACAAATGTTGAGACAGTGGACTACATATGCCAACCAATTAGTCGAAGTCAATAGGACAAGTGATTACCCTCTCTCTATGAGCTCACAATCAGACCCGATTCTAGAGAATATTTACCTTATGAAATTGAAAGTGGTCTGTTGACGCACATTGTCACTATAAGGACGATACAGTTGTCTGAATTCATGGGAATATTAATACGAGTGAATTATTTATGAAATTCAATAATATCCACCCTTGTCTCATTTCGACGCAACAACTGCATCAAGAGAACACTCTCTATTTTCCGGAGGCCTTGACAAGTAGGAAAGAAAATGGTTCACTTGGAAGAAGCATGTATGAGGAAGACACATTCAAAGAACAGTACACTTACTTCCTTAGTTATGTACCTATTAAATGTTATAGAAATATTGTGAAATGTCTTGAGAACACAGCAAGAAGCATTAGTAGGAAAGACTATTTGAAACACCATATTGAACATGAGTAATCAACTAGTTTTGTTTCGTAATCTGAAGGTCTAAGGTTCTGCCGGTGTGTAGTCATGTGTGTGTACTGCCAAAGATTCTCAAGATCAGACTAAATAGCTATTCAGTGCTCTCTGAATTTCATTGATCATTTCATTGGTCTTTACCTAATCAAACAGCTGTACATAGTCCCTTGATAGATGTGATTTGGTGGGACAGTTTCAGAAAATGAACATATGAGGAAATTTGATAGAAACATAAAAATGTTGACGAAATGGCAAGAACTATTATATCATAAATATAACATTTCCCATTGTGACATAAGGAACACACTATTCGGCAAGGGGACTCTTCAACAAATTTATTATCACATTGTAAATTTGTTAACATATGACTTGTAAGAAACTACATTCTGTGAGGAAATTTAAACAAAAGGTGTGAATACTCATATTAATAATGCGATATGCAATAGAATATTTGTGATTATAATCACATTTTGAGATTGATAGGTAAAAGAAGTTATATCACACCTAAAATAGTTCATAAAGTGTGTAGACCTTGAGAAGGGAATTGAAATTAATACGATTATTATGATTAGTAGGCAAACTGAAGCATTTCGTCACATGGTGAAGTTTACTCTTACTGCTATGACTATATTTCCAAACTTACCGTCCCTTGCATGAAAACAGTTAAAGATTTGAAACCGAGCAGCCTGAGATAGTAGTCACCGAAAATAATTTTCAACTCGAATGTTCCTTATGCAGAATATTAGAACAGAACTTCTCAATTAAACAAATTAAACATATATAGACACATCTTGAATGAAGCATGCTTATGGCGATGAAAACTCAGTCACACATACACATTTATGTTGTATCCAGGATTGAATGAGAATGTAAAGAATACAGAATTAACACTATACATGAATTAAGTTCACACGTGTCATGATTTTCACACATCACGAAATAACACACACCAACAACAAACTAAATCTAGATGATCTCCAATCAGAAATTCCGTCGTTGTGAGCATGTCAATATAACAGTGTGTATATAAACAGAAAGACACTGCCAGCATTTACGCTTCTCCTTTGACTATTCATTGCAATGAATCTGATCATACTTCTCATCTGTCTTTATCATGTGAATTCTGAGATAATCAAGATTCCTTTGCATCCCGTGAATGGAATTAAGTCAATTCTAAATCCGTATTGGAAGTTCTTGAGGGAAATACAGCGAAGCTGGATGAAATTATGGAGTGGAGGAGAAACACCAAAATCACAACAACTGTATAACTTTCATAATGTAAGTTGATCTTCACTTATAATTTTATTGAGAAATGAACAAGAAGCCTTATAAAGATATCTATTCGGAGATTTAATCGACATAAGCTGTACAACACGTTTTGTACAGAAGTTCACACGACTACATCTATCATTCAATTCAGCCAAAGAGTATAAAGGACACAATAATTCTAAACTTTATAAGGAAGTTAGAAGGTGTGAATACAGATCACAAGAGGCTTAGAAACAAAATAACACAGGACTAGAAAATAACTCAGTAATATGCTAAATGGATTTAGCGAGTTCAGGTGTGAACGAGATGGTGAAAGAAACAAACTGAAGTAAGAGTATTAATAGTTGAAGAAAACTATTGGGTTCTATGCGTCATAAGTAAATAAATAGTACTATCTCCCTTGGATAGCAAAATAAAAGTATTCTATGATAGACTTCGACTCTCCCACAGTGTTTAAATTATGAACACTTATCACACTTCACTAAGCCGCTAGCACCAATCAAGTGTTCCGAGTGGTATTTCTAGTTAAATCGAAATTTAAGTGGTTTTTAAATAAATATCATTTCAGAGAAGAACATATCTACTAAATGCAAAAGGAGTTTGTCGAAGCCTTATAAAATTGTGTGATATTATCTTTTGATGTACACCACTTCATCACGATATCAGAAACATTCAGGTTTTCAGAATCTTATGTTTATTACATCTTTTTAAGTTTGAATACTATGGAGAAATACAGGTGGGAACGCCACCACAAACGTTTCGTGTAATCTTCGATACAGGATCAACAGACAGCTGGTTCCCCTCAAGAAAATGTTGGTTTCTTGACATTCCGTGTTGGTTCATTCGATTTTACGACAGTTCGAAATCATCCACCTACAAGCCAAATGGTACTGAATTTCATATAAATTACCTGATTGGCAGTTACTCTGGATTTTGGAGTATGGATACAATGCAGGTATTGTGCTTTTATAACTTGAAGCGACAACGGTTTTAGCTAAACTCCTTAGTTATTCGCAACCAGGCGTTTGCTGAAGTAACAGATGTGACTTCCTTAGTCCTCTTTGGTGACAAGTATGATGGATACATTGGTATGCAAATGAGAAATGTGTCAATATATGGGAACACTCCATTCTTCCCGAATCTACTT